ATATCTAGATGGTGAATGTTTGAATTAGCCCATTTGATTGTTCAGAGGCACCAGGCACTGTTGATGATGTTTGTGGGTTTCACTCATGGGCAGATCGTTAAATCGCCACTGTTTGTATGCATTTGAGTGNGGACAGCTGTTTCGTTCTGTTTGGGACTCGTCAGCATTGTGCGTACTTTTTGTGTAGTTCAAGGGCAAGGGTTTGAAGTCCCAGCACGAAGAACCGCGGTTCCAGTCCTGACAGGGACACAAAAAGTGCGAACTGCTGACGAGACCCAAACAGGACGAAACAGCTATCCCGGTGCTCTTTGTTGGTTATCACAAACATTTCAATTTGATATCTACTTGGGAATAAGCCTGATCAATTGACAAGTAAAAGAAAAGAAATTTTTCCTGCCAAACATCCTCCCTGGCTAAGTTTGAAAGCAAACGGGGATAATGGGTGATATTGTTGTACGACAACTAGTCACAGGTCCTAACCTCACCTGAAATCTGATGATGCGATTCTCAGAAGATCGACGTAGACTGGTCAGGCACCCCATTTATCAACGAACAGAGCTTCGTGATTCAATGCTAACAGTGGACTCGAAGTTCTCATGGTTGCTAAAGAAAACAATCATCGTTGAACTCAAGAATCGGTAACGGTATTCTAGCAACTGTTGGAAATTGAAGATTCGATCGATGCACTCTTAACCGGCGCGAAATCCAGCCTGTTTCTCGCAGGTGTTGTAATATTTATGAAGGATAATCGGGGCTCATATCTTTAGGGTTTTTGAGATCACGCTTTCACCTTTGTCATTGGTGCTGTTGCTACCTGAGTCTTCCTAAAATGCAGGAATTCATTTTGTGTACCACGGCTGAGAAACGGTCTGATCAGCTTACTGGTGGCCGAGTGGGTAGTATGCTTGAGTTCTACCTATGAGGTCTCGGGTTCAGTACCCAGTTGGGTCGATGGATTCACTTTGTGGACGAGACCCAACGAGGTCGAAATAGCTGTCCAGTGCTTCCCAGCTTCTCAGCTCACGCCTCATTTACACGACAAATTCATCATATGAACAGATCAAATCTTCCATTACTCTCATTCAAGAAAAGTGGATATATTAAAATAATATCAATCAAAATAAGAGAACGACGGTGTATTGGATCAATACACCGTTGTCGTTGGGAATAAAAAAACACCAGTTCGAATTGTTTCAAACTGACATGTTCGAACCGTCACTAAAATGTTTCGTTGGATATCATGGCTACCACTCCTATGCAAGTATACGAGCCTGTACCAACTGATTACTTTGTTGTGTATGTTAGACGAAACAAGGAAGTCTCCATGTTGAACTTGTCCGGCTGCCTTGTGGGTCAGGATTTGACTAATCAAAGGCTCCGGTTGAGAATTCGTCAAGCATATTCGTCTGCTCTATCTAACCCGGGCAACCTTGCAGTATCCCATACACTATCAAAGCATGGATCTTTTTTTCCTATACAGATTATTTTCTCGTTATGTGTTTAACACTCTATCTGGACTCAGAAATGTAATGTCATCTAATAATAATAATAATAATAATAATAATAATAATAATAATAATAATAATAATAATAATAATAATGGTAAACTTTGTGTCAGCAGACTGGTGACACTGTTTCTCAGTCAAAAATGTCAACCCCTAGTCACTCGGAACTCCGTTCGGTAATGATATTGAATGCTTTCTCCGTACACAAACCAATGAATTAATTAAACCTAATCATATTCAATAATGTGAATACCTGTATTCGTACATTACAGTGCTACCTGCTTTGGTGGAGAAATCAGGCAGCACTGGGATGCTACTTTACGCCAGCATCGTTCAAGTGCATGTCTCTTGCCACTCTACTGCTTACAAACTATACGATAACGAGTTTTTATATCCACAAAGCGAATCCACCTACTGCCCTCGGCTGCATAATAGCGCGCTACTAAATAAATGAGATTAGTGCTGGGGTATGGTCTCAACTGTGTACCACTTACTCTTCGGGAACTCGTTCACCGTGTACCACACGAATTTATTCGCTCGTGCTACCAAATTCTGGTCTGTCTGTACACATTCTCTGCTAGGCCACAACTAAGAGCGTGGAATTCCGTAGTGAGCATTTCGCACGAATTCCACAGTTTTCTATCAGAGGTTACTTTTTTATTTTGTGGATAAATAACTTCATTTGATCTCCAGTGTTGTTATTCTCCCTTTGTACATTGAATATCTTGAGATGATGATAATCGATTTCCCTGATGCGGCGGATCAGCTGACTACTAATTGTTTCTTTTCTTGCACCTGTTTCAGTTGCTCAAGCGCCGTTACTTGGACTTTCGACAAGAGTACCGAAGTCTACGAGGTCAACCCGTAGCTGGAAATCTCATTCCCCCGTACGTGACAATCCCCTTGGTCACCACTTCCTGTTGCATTCCCATTCTGATCATCTATCCGGCTAATTTACTCCGAACTCGCTTCCAAGCTTCCGACAGTCCACGAGCTGATCCAGTCTGGCCCTCGTTTCGTGCAATCTGGGCCCGGTCAGGATGGCGTGGCCTGTACCAGGGCATGGGTGCTAGTCTGTCAAAAACTTTGCCGTCTGTGTGCATTACCTATATTGTGTTCGAATTCTGTTCCGAGCTGATGCATGTGCCGGGACTTGGATCCCGCTGACAGACAGACACACACGCGAACGACCGTGGCCCGGTTGTTTTGTCCACATCCACAGATCCTAGTCACATGTCAGATTGGCTTCATACAGATTTGTATGTTGGGCCGATAGAATAATAGCGCTCAAATT